TTCAGTATTTTCAAATACATTTGTAAGAAGCATTCACTTTTAAAGGTATTCTGTTACAACTTCGGTACCAATAACAGTATCCTTCTCCTCCAATGCATCACTAATGATTTAAACAAACCCAATAAAACAATGCTAGGACACTTAATATAATTGAAGATAGGAATCAAGTAACAGTTGAGGTTCACTGTACAAGAATTTATATTGTCTCTTATTATTTGAAGGCTCTCCATGACTGCTATCTGATACCTCTTCATCAATTAGAATAGGTACGATATTTCAAGCAGTAATTTTGTCTTCCTTTTATGCAAAATAAGCATAATGGATACTTTGCCCTATGTGGTAGGAGTTTATTTTAGTTCATACAATTTATTTTTATTCTTATTTATCCAGATATTAAAAATATTGTGGGTTTCTATGAAGATATGCTATGATTATAATGAGTTTAAGAATTCTGCTGACCTAGCGAAGAGCACTAAACTTGAAGACCAAGGACACCTTATACTGCACACCAAGCTGTTCTCTATTGTCCAGGTAGAATAACATGAGATCAGCAGAATTTGGCTTCAGCATTGTTAAAAATAACTCTCATGGAATACATTATAATTATTGCTTGATTTACAGTAATGCCTAAAATAGCAAATGGGATCGGGACCCTATGATGCTGGCTTTCAATAAACAAAATTTTCTTAACCAGCATGTAATGCCAAGTTAGAAAATGCACGCTCGTGATGTAAACTTCTCCTTATTCTCAATATTTCAATTTAACAATTCCCTTCTTTCCAAAAGCCTACTGAAATGACAGTATAATTAGCCAGGTTGCATACTTTGTCATGTTTGTTTCATCACAGTGCGTGCTTATTGCTCTGCCCAGTGAGGTCAAGAACAATCACGCCTGAAGCCATGACATCCCAGAGTTATTTCCTTTCTGCTCTGGCTCTCTTGAACTCTTGAATATCAGATCTCATTTTCCTGGGCCCAATATTGTCTTTACCATGCAACTATTAACCAGGTCCCTGCTCTGTGCAAACGAGCGATGTACGCTTTCATAGGACGTACAGCCCACAATGGCATCAGCACAGCATCTCTCTAATAGCAATTCCTGCCCTTGAAACTTAGCTCAACTATGGTGCAGAAATCATGGAATTGGATATTTTTCACAGTTCCTTCCTACAGAGGAAAACATACTCCTTTGTCAACTCTTTCCCCTGATTCTCCAGCTTTCATCTCTCTGCTCCTTATAGCGGGACACAACATAAAGTAGCAACAGGATACCAAACTAAGAGACTGAGGCACAGAATATATGTTTTTCCTGGAAAAGTGAAATTTGTCCTGAAAGATTGTGGAACAATAGTTACGCCACATGAGTAATATGATTATATGAGTTTTTTTCACACACAAAATAAAAAAAGATAAGCTGAACACAGAACATCCTTGCTGAAAGTGAAGTAGGAAAAAAAGAAAATACATGCATTTATTAAGGGAAG